GTTTTTCACTCAAATAAGCTACGAGACACCCTTCTTGTATCAGAACTGCTTCTATACCAATACTTAAAGCATCACATTCTATCTCAAAAGTTTTGTTATAGTAAGGTAAAGTTAAAACAAGTACAGAACATAATTTATCTTTCAATAAAGTAAAAGCATACTCTTGTTTTTCAGTCCATACAAATTTTATATTTTTCTTTACCAGTTCATTCAATGGTGCTGCTATGGAACTAAAATCCCTAACAAACCTACGATAGAAGCTTGTCGAATCATGAAAACTCTTTACCTTGCTGGCTGATGTCGGAGGAGGCCATTCTCTAATTATTTTCACCTTATTCTCATTCACCTCAATGCCATTTGCATTAACTATAAACTCTAAAAAAATCAATTCCACTGTAAAAGGTACACTTCTTGGAATTGACATACAACTATTCTTCCCTAAGGACCTCAAGGGCAGACTTGATATATTGAAGGCGATCATTTAATGACTTATTGTAAACCAGGATGTTATCAAAGTAAACTACCACAAATTTACTTAAAAAAAGTTGTAAAACACGGCTCATAGTCTTATGAAGGTCTTATGGGCATTTGATAATCCAAAAGGCATTACTAACCGTTCATACAACCCATGTTTGGTTTTAAAGGCAGTTTTCCACTAATCTTTAGGTTTCATCCTAATATGGTGGTTTCCACTCTTAAGATTTATCTTAGTGAAAATAGTAGATCCATTCAATTCATCTAAATATCATCTAATAATCCACACACATCCTCCAAGAGCCATCTTTCTTAGGCACAAGTAACACTAGAACAAACAGAAGGGCTCAAACTTTTTCTTATATGTCCCTTACCTAACAACTCTTCCACTTGCTGCTGAAGTTTCTTCGCCTCTTTAGGATTACTTTGATAGGTTGCGCGGTTGGGAATTAAAGCTATAGGGATAAAGTCAATCTGATGTTCGATCCCTCGTAGTGGTGGTAGACTATCCATAATTTTTTTTGAGAACACATCTTTATATTCTTGCAAAAGAGAGAGAATAGAACTACGTAAAGAAGTGTCAAGATCAGAAAAATTTAGATAGGCTTCCTTGTATCGAAGTACAAATAAGTTTTGCTTCTTACAATTCGTTCTCCTCACTTGTCTCTCCCTTACATATAAACATTTTTTTTTCTCTCACACATTTTATCTCATTAGGCCTTCTTTATTTTTATTTTAGGCCTCTTTAACACTAAGTGGACTTTCTTTATTTTTTTCAGCCTCTTTTTCTCTCAGTGGGTCATTTTTTTCCTTTTTAACCTCTTTTCTTTCTTTTTTTTTTTTTCTGAATATTCTTCAAAAGATTTCTTGATTTTAATTTGATTAGCATAGAACTCCTTTGGGGATAGAGGTATCAAAATGTGTTTTAGGATATCTAGACGTAAAGAGTATTGATTCTTGAACCCATCGTAATGTACCTGTCTATCACACTACCATGATCATCTAAATAGGATATGATTGGCATGTAGGGGGACGATATTACAGCATACCTCATCTTTATACTTGCTTATGGAGAAGAAAATCTTGACTTGCTTGTGTACCCTAACTTCTCCACACTCATTGAGGCAATGTAGTCTATAAGGGTTAAGGTGTTTATTATAAGATAACTTTAACTTGTCAACTAGCAAAGAACTAGTGACATTGGCACAATTGCCTCCGTTTATGATTAGACTGCATACCTTTTTATTCACTTGATATCTGGTGTAGAAGATATTATTTCTTTGATCGTTGTTTGTCTATTTATATTGTATATTTAGGGCTCTCTAGATAACCAATATCTCACCCTGCACTGGAGCAGTTAAATTATCTTCATAATCATCTAGTGATGTTCTACTATCATTATCACTACTATACTTACTAACAGTCTCTATCTCACCGTCATCTCGCAATAATATGATATTTTTATTGGGGCATTGTGATGCAATGTGTCTAACTCCAAGACACCTAAAACACTTAATAGAACTTAGTCTTTAAGTAGGAGTACGTGGTTTAGGGTTACCTTTAGATTCAATAGAGTTGGACTTATCTCTCATTTCTTTAAATCTCTTTCTTTCTTTTTTTTTTGGGCAATCTGGAATTAAACTGAGGGGTAGACTGAGAACTTCTTCTAGAGGAACCTCTATACTTTAGATATTTTTCAATCTTCGTAGCCATGTGTACTATTTTATCCAGATCTATGTAGTGATATAGTTCCGCAACATTGACAATCTCCCCGTTCAGACCACTTAAAAATCTAGCTATGGTAGCATTTGGATTATCATTAACTCTGGCCCTAATCATTGTCATCTCCATCTCCTTGTGGTAATCTTCCACTAAGAGTAATCCTTAGGTCAATCTTTAGAGTTTCTGGTGCAATTCCCTATCATAATAAGATGAGACAAACTTCTTTCTCATAATAGACTTCATCTCTCTCCAGGTGGATATAAATTAGTTTCCATCTCTTATTTTGAGGACGTCACTTGATCCCACCAAACAAATGCATAATCTGTAAACTCAACTGCTACTAGCTTTACTCTTTTGACTTCACTGCAGTTGTGGTAGTCAAAGATCAACTCTACTTTTTGTTCTCACTTGAGATAGGTCTCTGCATCAGTCCTTCCCTGAATAGGGGTATCTGCATTTTAATGGATCTAATGTCATCATCTTCCCTTCGGATTTCTCTTTTACCAACTTCACTACTGTTACCATGTGACTCATCATCATCTTGGCACTGTTGGCGTCTGAGATGACTGCGATTCCTTCATCCATCTCTCTCATTCATCCTTATTGCAATACCTTCAATGGCTAACCTTAATCTGTTGTACATGTCAGCCATCCTAGCCTCCAAGCGTTCTTCCAATGTCATAGGCCGATTGGTTTCACTAAATTGTGACATATCTGCAAAAAGATGTTAATGGACAAAAAAGAAATCACTCCCTCACAATCACTTGTGTTTACCTCTCCTATTTTCTTCCGTGAAGTTGAGTGTTGGAATTGGATTTCTTTAATTAAGACAAGTAAGGTTGTCTCTTAAGACTCTACAAAGAATCCTAAAAAAGAATCTTGTTCTCTAAAAGTTCATAAGCACATAGAAGAAGAATATGTGATGCTCTTATACTTATAGCTAAGTAGTTAAGATGCAATTAACCACTTAGATGTATAATAGAACTAAAGCACTTAATAAAGAATGAAACTAGGAGTAGAAAAAAACAATTTTGGACTTAACCCATCAAGGATCCGATTAATCTCTATGGATATAACTGGAATGTTATACCTAATTATTCTACTCCAGTGACGGTTGTGCTCTATGACTCACTTAAATTTATGTAATGTAAATGCTAATGCAGAATATTGAATGTAATATTGTAAAAAGAAAACAAGGGAGTGAAACACCTCTCTCTCTTTTTTTTTTGCTCTTTGTTTTTTTTTCACAGATTTTGTTTTTTTTTGTTTTAGAATTTCTCTCTCTTTTTCTTTTAATTATAAGAACAACATAAAAAAAATTCCTGAAAACAAACTAAATGAATTAGTACTTTATCTAACGAGTGCTAATTTTATGTAAGAAAATAAATACAAATAGTAAATTAAAAAAATAATAGATTTACCTGAGTCTAAACTTTAATACCAATTGATGCAGAATCTAAGATCAATAACGGAATCCAAAACCCCACAAATATACATCAGCAATAAAAAACTCAAAATCATAAGTAAACCCTCCCTATTTGATCTGCACTCAACATGAGAGTAAAAACTAAAGTAACTGAAAAATAAATAAAGAACTGGAATTGAAAAGACACCACAAGACTTATCTCGATAAGTTATCTCAATTTTTAATACAACAAGTCGGTCGAAGACTCACTCACTCACTTTTGCAAGCTTAGAAGATTAAAATAAGAATATTTGAATTTTATTAATAAGTTGAAATTTCTGAATTGAATTATATCTTTAAATTGAAGGCATATTTATAGTGTAAGCTATTTGAATAATAAGGAAAAAAATAATCTTCTAATTAATAGTAGAAATTACATAAGAAATTAAATATAGATTAGAATGAAAAACTAGCTAAAATTAAGAAAATTATAACTAAAATATGATAGATATGATTTTCCTATGAGTAAAACTTTTTGAATAAGGAATATCTTAATTAATTGTGCCTGATTTAGGAGATGAAGTTCTTTTAAGATATTTTTCTCTTTCTCAAGTAATTTTTCTTTTCTGCAAGATTTGATATTTAAGAAGTTTTATTTTTTCACAAGATAACTTGCAATTTAAGAGCAATTTCTCCTCTTGGCTTATCTTTAATTGTGAAGATTTTTCACATGATTAGGAAATAAAATTTTATGAGAATTTTCTTTTTTCATGTCTTATAGGATTTTTTCATTTTCTTGCTTATTTCTCTTTTGCACTTGGGGTGAATAATATACACTATTATACCATTAGGTTAATGGGCTTGTTGTTTTCTTTTCTTGGGCTTCTTTAATGGATCCAAACTCATCTTCCTCATTGATCCATGTTTGGTTAAAAGTCGGAAGACTTGTTGTAATCTTTTAACTCTCTCCTTTGTAATGGACCCACTTGATATTGAGATATCCTTTCGTCAACTTGATCCATGTTCATGTTCACATCAGAGAGATCTACCGGCTATTTATCCACCGTATGAGGTGTAATTTTCTTATGTTACGAATTTAGGTATGTTTTCATTTTAAATGTAGATCTCTTTAATTTGATTTTGAACATGATGATTTTATTCAGATTCAGTTTTAGATATACTTATTCTCTACAAATTAAACTCAAGGTTTTGCACTCAAACAATTCGACATGCTTTCAATTAGAAGACTTAAAGCTGATAAATCCTTAGCCAAGATCGCAAACCTTGAGTCAACCCAACAGATGCCAAATATCTATCAAACAAAATTCTTTTTTTCACTCAAATCAACTCATTCAAGAAAAACATTTTTTCAACTTAAACATTTTATTTGATACAGAAATCATTTAGAAGATCATCAACTTTAAATTATCTGGCATAATGTGCCACATTCTCCAATCATTTGAAACAATCTGTACAAGTTGATGAATACAACATTATTTTAAGAGATGAAATTCCTTTTTGGCAATAAAAGTAAGAAAAAGGAATTTAAAGAAACTAGAAAAATAAAGAAACTAGAATGGAGTAGATGGCAGTTTCTTATTGGCCAAGAAATGGTTTACGAGCTGCAGTGCTTGCTTGGGAGCAAAGGTTGGAACTTGGTGACCAGCTCCTCTGATTGTCACAAACGTCAACCCATCGTACTCAATTGTCCATCCGCCAACCTGTTTTAATTTAATTTAGTTAACTTAATTACTTAATTATATACATAAAACTACATTATATATATTAATTAATTACCTCATGATGAGTAGTGTACCAAGCTGTCCATTCTTGGAGAGTTTTCAATCCAAGCTTTCTCAAGGTGTATCTTGTTGAGGTTACTGGAATTCTTCCATCAGTATCCCCACTGATTAAACCAACCAATTTCTTAATTAATTATGCACTGTAATATATATATAATTTTTTGGAGTTCTACATAAATATAATATACTTACCTGAAAACCCAGATGCGAAGTCCACCATCCACAAGCTTTTTAATTATAGGAAGAATGGATGCAGGAGCATCCCTCCAAAATGAGATTCTCTCGCTGCATTTTTACATGTATCCATATGATTTTACATATACATATACATATACATATATATATAGTTATATATATTATATCATTAGGTAATTAACGACCAAGTTATGTGTATATATATATACCTGCAATGGGTCCACGGATACGGAATTTTGGTAAGGTTGGCGTGCAAAGCTTTCTGAACATCAGGCCTGTTCATGTAAACCTCAGTGTAGTCTGAAGCACAGGGGTCATATCCTGCCGGTTTCCTGTGCCAACCTTCCTGTATTTATATATGTGTGTGTATATAATCAATATGTGTTAATAGAGGTTTATTGAAGTTAATATATAAAAAAAAGACTGTCGTAGGAAGAGTTCCTACGAATTTAGAGAACAGGCGAGGAGCCACGTGGCCTCGAACGAGAGGAAGTTGTCTGGATTTGTGTGTAAGAGTAAAATTGGAATCAACACATTTGGGAGAGTACAAGCTGTACATGTCAATAATTCTGTACACTTGAAAGTAGTGACCCAATGCGACGTCGCAGTGTTTACCGGTTTCTGATTGGCTGAAATCACAATGTTTCTTTACATCCGCATACACCCTATCTGATATCACCGCGTGATCCCACGCGTAGTCTATCATCCCTTTTTGATCAGTTTCATCGTCTAACAGTGCATTCCCGATCTGAAATTTTATTTTGTTTTTAAATTAAATTAAGTAACAAATTATCACTCTATATACATATGTATACACACATATATATATATATATATATATGGAAGATATTGAAAGAGAAAAAAAACGTACCATGAAACCCTTGAAATTTATATGGTCTTTCTTGGGAACTTTTTTGTTGTTATCGTAAATGGCCTCTGCCAGTTGTGGAACATAGTGCCCTGATATATCATATTCAGTGTTATATATATACCGTGTATATATATATATATATATGTATACATATCATATATATATATAATTGGGAAAAATATATAATGACTTACCTGCATAGCTTTCTCCAGCAATGTAGAAGTCATGAGACTTGTATTGTGGAAATCTTCGGAACCAGTTGACAAGAAAATTATAAGAATCCTTGGCTACCAAATCAAAACATGAAAGTAAATGAATCATTTGGATGCAGTATATATCCATATATGTAAGTAAGTTAGAAATATAATTAAATGGGATATATCGAAATTAATGATTAATTAATATATATATATATATATAGGTGTAAGTAATTACCTGCAATTGTATCTCCTAGTTGATCAATATCACTACTGGTATTGGTGTAGGAGAATCCAACTCCAACAGGGGATTCCAGAAACAACAGATTGGCAGCTGAATATATATATATTTAAATTTAATATTGAAAAAATAATTAATTAAATAATAAATTAATGTGTATGTATGTATGTATATATATATATATATATATATATATATATAAATTAACCTTTGTTCCAACTGAAACGATTGAGCTTGAGTGTAGATAAATCTTTCTGAGGGAAGAATGGTCCTAATTCTTCTGCCTCTCCATATCCAATTGATGAGCAACCAGGACCTGTAATTAATCCATTATTAATACTAGTATTTATTTCTTAATCATAATTATTAAAGACTTTAATCCTTTTTTTTAATTTGATTTAATAGGTATACCAAAATGATATGATCCTACTGTTACGTGTATATATATATATATATATATGTATGTTGAAATTATTATTAAATTGAGAGAAGAAAAAAATATTGTTATATTATAAGATTAGGTGAAATTGATGAACACAATGATGATGATTTCAAACGGCATGCGTTGATGCCATGATGATTATTAATTGTAGTGTTGTTGAACATAAAATTATTTATATGCATATATTCAACCAACCCATGATTATAAACTTTGAAACACTACTGTTTATAAACATAACAAACTTACACTCTGCACATATATATTATATATATATATATATATATATATTCAATATGTATATACATTTCATGTATGGTTTATATTTAATAATATACATAGATATCTCAATATTTGCTGTTCTCACTTTCTATAAAAGTACAATATATATACATATATTATAATTAAAAAATAAAAAATCCATTGTTTCTAGAACATTTCAAAAATAATAAAATAAAATGTGGGGGGAAAAAATAGTATATGAAACAATGATTTGATGACAGACCAACATATTCCATCAACTACCATGCATGTATTAATAATTACCATGTTGACTATTATTACGGAACAGAGCATGTTGACTGATCATACGAATGAATACGCACTTATATATATACATATATATATGTACACATATATGGCCGGCATCTTGTAGTGTATGTGATTCCAAAAAATAGAAGCTAATTAAACATAATATATAGGGCAGGAATTAAATATATATAAATTATTAAATAATTTTGCAAAAATTAATTATGAAAACACACATACCAAAAATATATATAAAAGACAATTTTGTACGTACAGATCATAAGTTTAATAATTAATTTATTACTTTGAATGTATATGATGGGCGGAATACATAGCGAAAAATATAATAGACAAAGGATACCACAGAAGTAGCTGACTGAGTTGTATAATATATATGAACGAGATCAAAAAGGGCCAGCAAGAGAACAATTATATATGATCATCGTCATATTATTATATATCTATATATTTCCTTTCTCTTTTTATTCATTTATGAAGATAATTGCAGGCAAGAAATACATATAATTTAATTTATTGAAGGTGATCATCATGGAGAACATGCTCATACCAAAAAGAAGTAACAAAACTATTAGACAAACCTAGATTTGATTTTTATAACTAGAATCAATTCATGTATATAATATATATATATATATATATATATAATTTTTCTTATCATTTTACTAAGGAGACAAATTACTTTCTTCACATTAATACATTGAAATATTTCATCCATTGAATTGTTTATAATAGAAAAAACAAATAAATAAACACTAAATCAAGACTCATTTGTGAATTCAATACATGTTTATATAAATTAAACTATGTATAAAAGTCATAAAAATTGTTTAAAAAAAAGATTAGTTTGGAAACAAATCGGCACTTGGAGTTTTAAGATTTAATTAGAGATTAATGATAATTACAGGAGAACTTTAAATTAATGAAGAAAGACTAAGATGGGTGATACGTACATATATAGATATATAGATATATAGAAGAGTAGTATAGAATTGTACCTCCATTGAGCCAAAGCAATACAGGCTTATTATGAGGTTGATGGGTAGCTTCAAAAAACCAATAGAACAGTGCTCTTCCATGGGTCTGGTTAACAGTGACATAGCCAGCGTACTGTTTAAAACTCACAGCCGGCTGTCCGGGAAGACGAACCACCCGGTCTGCTTCTTGTTCCGCCGCACACTCTAGGCTCAGACCACTCGCACCCACTGACCCAGAAACCAGTAAACCGATTAGACCCACCACAAGAAAAAAAACACCCATCACTATCCCTTCCTGTTTCTGCTCACTTCTCAAACTTCAAAATATACACATATGTATATATAGATTATGTGGTGCATATATAGAGAGAGAAGAGGAGAGAGAGAGAGAGAGAGAGAGAGAGAGAGAGAGAGGTAATTCAAAGACAGATAAGAAGCATGTGTAGTATACATATATAAAAAAGATACGAAAACGACTCGGTATCTTTTTATAACAAACACCCTTTTTGTATTCATATGCAATATATTATATCATATTAATAATTATAAAAACCAGATAGTTTTATGTATATATAATGTAAATACATATTGTGTTATATATATCCGTGTGTGTGTAAATGTGTTGCTTGCTTTGGAAACAAAATTATGAACCCAAATGTTGGACGTTCAAAATGGTAGACCTAAATCCATGGGATTTTTGTTTTTGAAGATGATAATTAAAGATATACATACATACATATACATATATATATATATATATATATAAACATATATAAGGGCGGTTAGGTCAATTGCTTTAGATTCAAACATCTGAAAAACTTTTGCCTGTCTCAACTGTTTAATTTTAGCTATCCATGATCTGTACATCCCTGGAAATCAGTAATCAAATCTCTACAGTTGAAGTTATATCTACGATTGCTTTCTCTCTCTTTTATAATAATATTTGTTTAATTGTTCTCATCTAATTAATTTTCTAATTATTATTATTATTATTATTTACTTGTGTATAATGTGTAATTTTCAACATATAAATTAAGAAGATATTCGCAAATATTCCACAATTAATAACATTAAAAAATAAAACAAAATAGTGGAGATTTTTATTCTTATTTGTTAAATAGTTTGTATTATCGTATACATGTATATGTGCATGTTCGTGTACGAAATCTTTTATTAATTGAGCTTTTATGCAGTCTTTGACTTTTTCTTTTCGGTCAAAATTGTACTTTAGTAACTTGGGTATTATTATAAGAATATATTTGATGCCAAACATAATTACTGCTAAAGTTAATAATTGATTACCATAACCCAACTAAAATTTTATTTTCTACTAAATTTTTTTTTTTTTTTTTTGGAGAAATTCCCGGATTAAGTTTACTAAAAACGAATTCGAAATTTTGTCTTACAAAGTTAAGAGTAATCCAAAGCTATATATATATATATATATATATTCCCTTATCTATATCATGAGACACCATTGAAATGGTTGGTTGAGGACCATTTGTGAAATTAAAAATTTATATAGCATTTTCATCAAACGAGAAATTATTTTCCAAGATATGTATTTATTTAATGTTAAAATGTTGCCAGCATTTTGAGTCTGAAACAATGGAAATCAAGAAATGGATCACCATAACATACCAGAACCCGACAACACTTTGGTGTTTTTGCGAGAATAGCAAGATAAACTGCTTCTCAAGCCTTGGCCTTCCTAGTTTTTATTAACTGAACTTACTAATCCCAGTAGATTCATATTTTCACCTGGCTCCAGAACTATAATTAACAAAATTCTCATGCCGAATATCAGAGAAATTACTTTTGTTTGTTCGTTTTGATGTGTCGTAAAGTCAGGAGTTTCCAAACAAAATCTCTTATTGATAAGAGCCAAAATCTGAAGCACCTCATTCCTGAAGATTCAGGAATCTAACCTAACCAATTCCCTGGAAATCGATGACTCTCAAGAAAGAAATCAAAACATTATGGGTTAAAGACTTGATTAAGCCTTCATTGATCTAACTCCATCTTCTGCAGTCCTCCTCTTCATCCACTGGAGTATACCATACAGGCCGTCTCTTTGAGTTGCTCAACCTATAGTTTAAAAGCACTTCCTCGTTGCAAAGTGCTCTTGTAGCCACAAGAACCAGAGTCTTTATTGTAGGAACTGCTGACCCACTATTTCTTGAACTCCATGATCTAAACCAAAAACTCCCAAACCTCCTCATATTTACTTCTTTGCCAAATGAAATGTTTGGAATATAAGTTCTCATTTCCTTTTCAGTCAATGGGAAGTCATATGGGCAAATCATGACATTAGGCTCCATACCTTTTGCAGGGTGGTTGGCAAAATGCGCCAAAGCAAGTGGATTTCTTCTCTCCGATACTTCAACACTATGTAGGCCTTCGGGGTTTTCCAGAGGCTTACTGAGTAACTTCCAGAACCTGTCTGAACCTTTCTCAGATCCAGTGCCTTCACTGTCCGAGGGTCTGATATTTGGCACTGTTAAGCCATCCCAGACTTCACGAGTTTCACCCCCCAAACCCCATGGCTGAGGGTTGATTACAGTCCCATCATACCTTGTGATCAAATAAGGATTCTGTGCATCAACTCTTGGGTACCCAGGAATGTAACGGTAACAAGCTGGGGAATATATCACACCAGGGTAGAAAGCTACCACAGCACCAACATCAGCTTCACCATCTAAAAATAAACCTTGCCCGGCTTCTTTGTGAGGTATTTGAGATGCTTTTACATCAAGTGTATAACCAATGAAATCCTTTAATCTCCGCGAGAGTTCAGAGCGACTTAATGGCCTTGTCTCAGGGAAGACTGTGCTGAAAAGAAATCAGTGATCAGAACTGAAGAGGAGAAGCATAATCCTAATTCATGTTATTTACTAATCAAATTTAGAGATGAAATCAATATGACAATTGGATTAAGTCAAACTAATTATATGCTCCTAGCAGCAAATATAAATGATTAGTTCCTGAAAGAGCTGCAATCTACATATATGCAAGGCACAAATGACATTATTCAACAAGACGTCATGAATAGAAGAGAGAGAGAAAGACTTACACAAACCACCCTATATGCTTTAGGTCGCCTCAGATGGCATTACATTTTAATTGACACAAATGACATCGCCAACCGCAATTAATGAATAAAGAAAAGAAGAAAAAGAGAACTTTAGAAAAAGCTCCTACATACTTTAGGTTGTCTGAATTACCATTGTATTTTAGTTGACCCAGCATAAAAAGTAGTATCTTATGCATCTTATAATAAGGTAAATAGTAAATTTTTAAATAAAAACATTAAATATTAATTTTAAACTAAAGAGACATCCTAATGCAGGACAAGTACTAGTTAAACTAACTTGTCTTGCAAATAATTCAAAGTAGAAAAAAAATTTAGGTGAGAAACAAAAAATAAAGATAGGACAGAGGAAATTGAAGACCAAGGTAAGAACCATACGAAAAAATAGGCTGAACAAGATAGGTTAGATAAAATAATAATAGTAGATCAAACACAGAGAGATAACAAGGAATAAAACTCTACCAAAGAAATTTTTTAACTTATAGTTGTTCTATTCTTTCCTCTTTGTTGATAAATACTAGAATTTATGTAGGCATTAGTTACAACTAATAAGGAAAATATTAAAAGAAAAACTCTAGCAGATTTTAATACCTACAATACTGAAAATCTAACTAAAGAGGACATTGAATATTGTAATGCCTAAATAAACTAAAATACAAGATAATAATAATTATTGCAAATAAATTCTTTAATTAAAAATTTGTTCCAAGTTAATATCTTCTTATTTTGTATCACATACATTGCACGTGAGAGAGTCTTTTAGCAGTAGTTTATTTTATTTGCAGTTAATAACAATTGTTCTGAATTGCTTCTAAACATTCATCGTCTTCATTCTCAGATCATGGAGAAAAAAGGATAGACAAGTAAATCAAGTAGCAATGCTAGAGACACGAAAGATTATACCTGGGAAAATGTGAACTTTATTATATATATGCATCTTCATATGCAAGTAATACATTTGACAGTTTCATATAAGCTTACGCTTTTAAGAAATCAACTCAATTTTATTAGTTAACATCATACAGAACTAAAGGTCTAGTATTTAAGTTGTAGTTGCAGTTCCATTTTTGTTAATTAACTTCTCACAAGGTAGGACAGACTTAATCTACGCTTTTGCATGTTAAAGTACAAATAATAGATGTCATCTCTGATCAGTTTAAGCTTCTGGTTGAATTGGTTTGATTATAATATTTAAAAATATTATAACATGAAGATTTGAGAGCTTTCAAGTAAGATGTAGATAGAAAGCTTAGGCAAAATACTCTGAAAGAAGGCCAAGCTCCCCAACTTCCTTAATTTCTCTCCCAACCACCAAACCTCGCTCAAATTTAGCAATTATACGTTCCCAATGCCCACCTTCTTGCTATTCACACGTAAGCACTTCAAAATAAAAGAGCTAACTTAATACCTGAGAATAACGGCAAGAATCCCCACTTACACATTCTTAACCACAGCCGCCATCTAGACTTTCTCAAGTTGATGTCCAAGCCTGACACTGCCTAAAGCAAAGAAGAATTTCCCTTCTACATAAGATCACGGGCTGATCCAGCTTGGAAAGGAGAATGGTGTCATCTGTGAACAACAAATGATACACTACCACAGCTCTATTTCCATTCCCTCTTTTTCAAGATACATGCTGAGGTCTTTCCAAAATATTCTTTTGCATTGTTAGTTTACAACATTTGTACTCTGGTTTGAAATTGACTTTGGACCATGGTGTTAAATTTTTTGAAGATATGGCCAATTTCTGATTTTTCTTTCATAAGGAATAGTCATATAATTCTGGTATCAATACAAAATATCTAAATACAATGTACAGTAGCTATCTAATACAAGTGATGTTGTTGGGTTCAGAGAACCTGCTCTCATACCATAAAAGTTAAATAAAATCTATGATCTATGTTCATCTAAATACAATGTACAGTAGCTATTATTTCAAAAAAAAAAAAAACAACATACAGTAGCAAGGTATATACAGAAGAATGTTAGGAAAGAATCAGAAAAGGAAACCACACAGATGGAATCAGTCCTATAAAGAGGAAATCTGCTTATTTTGAAAAGCAAATTATTCTGCTTCTTAATTGGGAGATTACCTGAGGATACTCAGATTAGGTGTCGGGTTTCTACAGTGATATAAAATAGCATTTCTTTAACTTTTAAAACAATCCCAGAATACTTCTGACTTAATCAAGCTTCTTTTTGGGGAGAAAAAAAGTTCAATAGAAATAGAGAAAATGTGATGACTAAGGAAGGAATATCCTCCTAAACAGGATGACTATTACCCAGAAAAAAGAAAACAAAATAAGGAGAGCAAAACTTAAAAAAAAATATCAATACAAAATACCTATCTTCTCGAAGAAAAAAATATAGAATGGAGACAGAAAGAAGCTAAAATTTAACAAACCCCAAAACAGCATCCAAGTAATTCAATTCCCTCAACTAAGAGTACAAAGATAAATGTAAAGTGTCATAACCCTAAATTTTTGTACATTTCTTATGAAAATTAATAAGGTCGGATATAAAATGCTTACCAGGCTGATCACTTCGGAGGTTATTCCCACCAACAGCAAAACTAAGGCCACTTCGTCTAGGAGCAACATTTGATTGTGAACCTGATTCAAGTCGCTCATCTGTTTTCACCTCAAGAATTTTATCCATAGATGAACAAACACGTCTGATTTGAGAATGGATGTTTTCTTGGACTTGCTTCTGTTGGTCAGCAACAGAAGCCTTACTAGCCATGTCAATTATCTCCTCCAAATCTGCTTCTTCAGCATTTCGCCCCAAACGATTGTAGCTTAATAATTTGAGGTTTCATGAGCAATAATCAAGTAAGAAAGTGCATCTAGTTTATATGAAACCACATAGCATACATGAAAAACATTAAGAACAGATCTTAATTTTTCATGAAGTGGATAATGACTTTGAAGATTATTCAAAGAAAAACCGACTTTAATAGGTGATTCCATTTAAGCTAAACCCTATGACAGGAAAGTTAAGAATACCTATGAGCAATGAAATGAAAGCAGAAATTCATATGGATGAAGGAAGATGATAAAGAAAACTATGCAATGGTCAAACAGGTGGTTAATCAGTAAACACTAAAAATTCTGTGTTTTTTGTCTCAGATAAAGAAATATTGATATAAAGGGAGGTCAAAACTGAAATTCTTAAGGAAATATAGTTGCAAAAAATGGGGCCTGATGATAAGATGTCAAACTCTTTCATCATGTCAAATGCAGATTAATTATTGCACTACCTAGAAGAGTTGACACAGCCCAATAGTCAGTGCAACAAGGATGAAGAGACATTGAGAAAGGTTTTAGTAGCACACAGAATACAGTATTCTATATGAGCTCATACCCAGAAAAAAGAAGAAAAGGAAAAGGAAACATCACATTTCACAGTAGCTACGGTTTAAGATATGCAAAACAAGTCAAAATCATAAGCAGGCACATTGCGTACATGTAGCAAAACTATGGCTTCAAAGTGAATGCATTTATGTGATAGATTGTTGGACTAAAACTTCATACGCAATGTTGATAAAAAGGCCAGTCATTAAAGAGTCCCCAAGACATATTTTTGCAGAACTTGTCAAAAAGCAAACAAGCATGAGTGTAAAGAATGGATTGGGTGTAGATTTCTTGTTATAATGGGATAAAATATGGTTTTTCATCTCAATTTTTGATTAAGAAAATGAAAAACTTTACCTAGTATATAGAAAGAGGCGATTCATGTCTGCTTCAAACTGTAGTTGCCTTGGATCTCTAGCAAATGTTGGACTTTTTGCAAGAACTTTCACAAACTGGAATGGCAATAGACAAAAAATAGTTTATCATAACGAGGTATGTGCTCCTCCCAACAAGACCAGAGATACAACAACCAAAATAAAAAAAGAAAAAAAAGAGAAAAATTAATAAAGCATAGCTGGCCCATCTCTATGAGAAATGGATAAAGAAACATCCTTAAAAGCCATGCACCTTAGCCAAAATACCTGGCCAATATTTTACTGCATGTAAGAAGGGGCATACTCTCTGTTCAGAGTGGCAATTCATGTTCAGCACATAATGGGCAGAACAACAATCTTTCAGCTGAACAACATTCAGACTTATTTATAAGGATATGATAGATAAATGATATAGAACTTGTTACAGCTAAATATATTAGAAACTACAATTCTTTTAATATAAACTATTATGGGTTTATTACTATAGTTTTGGTAACTTTAGGATTTTATTCTTTTTAGTATTTGATTTCTTATTTGTGTTAGTATTTTCGGAATTAGTATTCCTATTTCATTAGGAGTGGTATTTCTAAATTAGTTTTGATATTTCCCAATCTAGTTGGACACGGTTAGCAATCTATAAGTATGGTTTTAACCTATTTCACATGAGCATTCAATTATTTAATAAAATATTTTGAAAGTTTCTCAATTTTTTGGTTGTTTACTACAATCAAACCCTTAAGTCTAATGCTTAAGATTCTTAAATGTGATGTTTAAGAAACTCTAGATGTGATTAAGTTTTGTATTCTCAAATCCATAATTAGGCAAATTAACCTGTGCACATATTTGGTATTAGAAGTAAAACATCCTACATTCAGAATCTCAAAATGGTACACCCAAACAACCCCAAAACCATCTGGAGAAAAAATCACAAAAATCTTAAAAAGATAGCCGAAGTTCACAAGCGACCACCCAAAGGTGGTTGATACCGCCATAGCACTAGCCTCAAAAGGTTCTGTTGGGTGGACCCCTGAAACCTCACCACAGAAAGCCACCACACTAGCGGCCAAGGTATCCCAACCATTGCCTCCCGCCATCCCAAACTTCCACACCATCTATCATACACTGACCTCTGACCTGCGACCAACACTTTTAGTTCACCGACTACCAAATGGTTGATGTCATTCAATGACCGAAAGCCGGCGCATGAACCCCACATTTGCCTCGGTGCGAGTAGCCTTTGCTTAATTTGTCCTATTTTGACTTCCTTGGATCTGAGTTGATGAGGATGACTCTTGTAATTGGTTCTCGCTTCAAACAGACCTTTGTAAAGAGGACTTTAGCTTCACCAGCAATGACTAGTATTGAATTAAATGCTAAACTAAAGGTAAACAAGGCAACCACTATTATCAGACTCGAAAAAACAATACAGAACACAATCAACGCAGTCATAGAAGAATCGAGACATTTGCATACAACAAGTATGTCCACCAATTCAAAATCAACAAGTTGCACAAGCTGCCGACAGGAAACACATTGAAGATAATACCAGAGATATTACCAAGAGGGTAAGGGTCGAATCTCCTGAATTTAATGAAAAAAGAGATCTCAATTTCTTTCTCGATTGGCTTGATTCAATAGAGGATACTTCAACTAGTATAAG